CAAGAAAACAACCAACACAAACAACAACTATACGTTATATGTATCTGAAATCAGTAACATATCATCTTATGTAGCGGCAGCAACAATTATGGAAACTACTTACAGTCTATTGTAACTAAATGAAACCAACTACAAGTACACTTATGCTAAAGCAATGTTAAAGTTAAAGGCTAAAACAACTCTATTAAGCAACAAAACAAAACAAAACAAAACACAACAAAACAAATCAAACACATACAAAATAAAACAACAACCACAACAGAAATATAAACAAAAAACAAAGGCAAGACATAGGGGTTTAAGTAGCTAATTACAAAACAATAACACCAACCATAAGCAGCGAGCTTTTCAATTTTTTTAATGAAAATCCTTTTTGAAATAAATAAAAGAAAATTATGTTTGTGTTTTTAATTTGGTAGCCGTTGCAGTTTCTCAGAATTGTTTAAGTTATAAGCATACATATATTATTTAAATTAACACATAAATTAAAACTTATATTTACCAAAGTTGTCCTTACTAAATTCCCGATTTACTTTAACATTTCCCAACATTTGTTAAACAAACCAACAGCAAAATAAAAGCAAAAGCAAATAAGAAATCTATTTAATACTTAGTTAAGATTAAACAACTAGACATACCAAAGGCATATTTGAAACGTTTGTTAAAGCAAAGCAAAAAACAAAAAACAAAACAAAACAATGAAAACTGAAAAACAAATACATGAAATAATGAGAAATATGTTATATGTAGCAAATAATTGGCATAATTGGTAATGGTTTTCCAAACGCGAGTGTGTGAAAAAAATTTTGACAATTTTCTACACATTTTTTATGTCTACTTTAAAAAATTGATTTCATATGTATAATTTCAATTGACTTCAGTCAAATGTAAAAGCATATTCCGTCCAATTACATTTCTTGCTTTCCTCTTGCCTCTGAACTCATCAAAATCATTATCATTAACATCACTATCAGCATCATTATCATGATCATATATAAAATTGAAGCGCGTTGTCGCAGCATTAGTTCAGAAAATACATAAATATACATAACCAAAATCTATTTATAAGTCTGTAAGCGAACCTGACACACGTACACACACACACACACACACACACACACACTCACTTATGAAGATCTAGATTTAAGTAAAAAGTTTAATTATATTATACTAATGCATATCATAAAATTGCGCCTTTAAAACAATTAAACAACAACAACAACAAATAAAAAAAACAAAATGAATTACGAAACAAACAAAATATTTACAACTACAACTAAGCATTAAAATTAAATTATTAAATAGAGTAAAACAAAGGTTACCAAAACAAAAACAAATATGGAATAGAAACTATGCATAATACAAATATTTTCGAAATTAATTTTTAACATTAAGCAAAGAAATCTTTCGGGCATTAAAACCTCGAAGTATGCAAAACATTTCAGCAAAGAAATGCAATGAAATCGCGTTCCAATTAACTTGGCTAAGACGCTGCGTATGTGTGCGTGTATGTGAAAGTGTATGTGTGTGTGTCTGCGTGTGAGTGTGAGTGTGTGTAGACGTGTGTTAAAATTTTGTGCAATTTTTGCTTAAGAATATTAATTGAAGACCAACAACAAAAATCATCTAAAGCATGTTCTCATTAACAACACTTTCATGTATATTTATCAAAAGCAAAAAAAGGCTAAGAAAAACACAAATGCAGTTGCCTCATTAGCTGCCCTTAGGCTCTTATTTCAAGACATTCTCCTAAATACATTTCATCAGCAAAAAGAAAATTGAGAAAAATAGTTAAGAAAGTTTAAATACTTTCTGTCGGGAATATTAAATGCATAATGAAACTAGTTTGTAAACGATAAACTAAAACTAAACTAAACTAAACAATATGAATTATGGGAACATTATATGAATATATGAATACATTTTTGAAACAAAAACAAGTATATAACAACTACATGCAACTACAACAGATACATATCAGCAAGATGAAAGATTTACCAGATAGAACAAAGCAAAAACTTTTACAACAAAATAATGCTATAAAAAACAAAAACACAAATTGATAAGCGATATGTTTTGATGTGGTTTTTAAACATTTTTGACAATGTAAGCGTAAAAGGCAAAAGCAGTTACCAAAAACAAAATAAAAAAACAAAAAAAAAAAAAAACGAAAAGCAAATATGAAAAAAATATGAGTTCTAGCTGTCTCTATGGGCAATTAGTAATAGATTACATACTACTTACATATGTAAGTAAAGGCGACAGTAATAGCAAAGAAATTGGTATTTTATTGTATTTATTATTATATTAGCTTTTAGCTACATATATTTGTACTTTTTTTCGTGCATCTCGAAAATGGTTATTATATTGAACTATTCTTCATTTAACTAAGTATATATTTACACGTAGATATCCCCAATTCGATTTCGATTGCCTTATGTTTGCCTGCATTAAGATTGAATACTACTAAAACATTTGAATAGACATAAAAAAAAAAAATTTGTTGTTTTGTAACCATACTAATGCTTAAGTAATTTATGTATTGTATACCATCTATATACTATACCTTATAAACTACTATTTTTCCGTACTTGCGTTTATGTGTAGCGTTTACTTAGTCTTTTTAATTGACGGTATTAATTATGCTTAATAAATTCATTATGTTCGTTAAACAAAAAATCCAACTAACATTTGTTTTATTTGTCTATACACATACACATACATATTTTTTTAGTTTTTCAACTGTTTTACCTACCTTTTATGAAGATGCGCATAAACCTTAAAGAAACGAATTTTAAATTAGTGAAAATTTTTGCAAGAATTATACAAGTATTTATAGAACGGTTAAGACCCTGAATGATTATTAAAATAAGAAACTGGGAAATACGAAATGAAAATTCAAAACATTTGGAGACATAAATGCTGTAAATTTGTTTATAACATTTTCAACTGCGTTGGAATTTCCAGGCAGTTGCAATATACATACACACATACTGAATATATACATACATACAATGCGTACAATATATACTCGTATATATACATATACACGAAGACACATTTACATAAATACATATAAGTAGAACAAATTGATATTGAACATTGAAAATATCAATGCAGACAAAAAACAGCAGTAAAGACAGCAACAACAAGTGAAATGAGTAACATTAAAAGTTAATTGAAAACATATCAAACTCGTGCCCGATAAACAAAATAAAAACTATATATGTGTATACATATATAATTATATATACATATATATCTATATATATATGTATAAAGTATATATACATTTCAAAAAAGGCGTCAGCCAATTATGCGCAGCAATTTTCAAATTATAAAAAAAAAAACAATTATATTGATAATAAATTCATATATGGAGTATGCAATTTTTAATTGCATCTTACTCAAATGCGTCAACTTTTATCATCATAATAATATTATAAATATAATTCAGCATAATATTACTACAATAAATGGCAAATATTTGTCTATTTTGAGGCTCATTTATTTAAAGTTTTTGAGAAAAAAAAAAGAAAACAAAAGAACTACAACAAATTTAAGAACTCTTCATTTTACCAATTGAAAACTTTTTGCTAGTATTGTAAAAATGAAATGATTTTCAAAAAATATGGGAAAATAAGAAGAAGAAAATATACAAAGGGCGCAAGCTAAGGAAAAAATAGCAAAATATTATTATAAACTTACATAAACGGAAAGAAAACGTATATATAATAAAAAAAATAACATATATTAATATCAGCCTTGTTCTTTATATATTTCAAAGTAAACCAACCAAACAAAAAGCATACAATATATTAATAAATTATTAACTACTATATTAAAAGTAAACAAATAAAAAAAAACACAAAATGAAAGCAAAAAAAGAAAAAAGAAACAAAAAAAAACATACATAAATATTTAGCGAAAATATTGTATTGTGAGTTTAAATGTGTGTTGTTGCATACGAAACCAAAGACATGATGAATCGAACGTTAAAGCAATAGAATGGGTAACAGAATTCGATTGGCAATTACCAAAAAAAAAAAAAAAACATATATAAGAGCCAACTCAGATTGGCTTAAGAAAAAAGGAAAAGTAATAAATAAAGTTTGTGAGCATTTTCACATCGCTTACGAGAAAACAATAAACAGCAACCAGCGATAAAAATTAAACGCAATTTATTTTCCATTACTTTATCGTAATATCAGAACCTTATTATTGTACTACAACATATGAATAAACAGCAAAAGAAAAACACAAAAAAAAAAAAAACAAAAATTATACAATTTGATAATATTTCCAAACCCTCCCCAAACAAACATCAGAGCGGTGCGGTGCACACGGCAGGTGGCCACAGTCGCAGTGCGAACTGCAACAGTTGCAACAACAACAAATAATAATATGTAATACAAATAATGAATAAAAACTTTAACAATTGTTTTGTGTAATTGTAATCAAATCGAGTTTTAATTCTATCTACTTTGAGCTATTATTAATGCATTAATTTTTATTTAAATATAGCACAAATTGTTTTATTTTTTTGGTTTTTTGTTTTCCAAGTGCAGATTTTCACTATCATTGACGTCATGGGCGTCCACTCGTCTGTCCAACTTAATATGTGTAAGCCCCCCTTAAAATGATTTTAGAACTACGCTCCGCAACCGAATCCAAATGCTGGTTTTGCGACAGGTCAAACATTAAGCTGATAAGTCTAAAAGTGGAGCTCAGCCAATCTGGGGTTTTTTTTATATACATAACTACAGGGATACCAAACCCTAAACAGCTCAAAGAAAAGTATATTTACTTATACCCAGTGTAACTGAAGTTTTTATTCTGTGCTACCTGTGCACAGACTGTTTTTACCTGCTCGGAATTGTGTACCGAGAAACTAATCTCAACTTAGAGAGAGAACACCCTGTGGTGTATATATGTACGTAGAATGTGATGACAACATCTAATCGAATTGTGTACACGTTTAGCTGAGCTGAATCAGTAGAATTTCGACTTTCAAACGAGACGGTTTTAAAAATGCGCTTGATTTGTCTGCTGCTTTTGGCAGCTGCCTCGATACAGGTTTGCCTTGGCGAAAACAAAGTGTCCTGCAAGGACGAAGAGGGTCACGATGTCGACTGGTATGTACAAATATATTCAAACAACTACGATTCCAAAAGACAACTATTTCTAATAGTTTAATAAAGGTTTCTCTTTTTTAAATATGGACAAATACTCAATTGTTTGTCTTTTTTTATACTCTGAAAACCTATTTGACCTTTGAAACATTAAGACGACAGCATCTATTTGATTGTCTTACTTAGAGAGTATTTTTTCTTTGTTTGCTTTTAAATTAGAGTCTACATGAAAATAAACATACAAATATTTCACTTATTAATTTTAAGCGAAAATATTCGAGTTTAAGTACATATATATGTATCTAGAAATTCAGTAGTAAAATCTTATGTATGTTCTACAGGTGGTACATTTACAAGTTGCCTAAGCACTACTCGACCCTATATCAGGGTGCGGATGTGAGTGGATTGCGATACTTCTTCGTGACCAGCAGCTCCTATGACAGCTGGCAGTTGTCTGGGAAGCGCATCAGCGACTCCAACTCGCTAGCAGCGGAAACACTGAGACCGCTCTACGCAGACACACAGCATGTGCTGCTGGCTGCGTACAACGATGAGTTTCCCAACGGTACCGTCACCAGCACTGGTGGCCACACAAAGGGTGTCATTGCCACCGACGGAGTGACAGGTGTTTGGCTTGTGCACTCGGTGCCGAAGTTTCCAACAGTGCCGGATTATACGTACCCAACCAGTGGCGAGAACTATGGCCAGAGTCTGCTCTGCATGACGCTCGATATGGAGGGTGTGGAGAAGGTGGGCGAACTGTTGGTCTACAATGAGCCGCATTTCTACTACACGCGGAATCCGCTGCTGAAGGCTGCTGAACTAGTACCCAGCCTGGAGCGTGCACTCAAGCAGCAGTGGCGCACTGAGGAGCCGTACCAGAAGGAGATCGAGGTGAAGACACTCAATGGCAAACAGTTCCGTCTCTTTGGCAAGAGTTCGCGCGCCAATGTCGAGCTCTACTCGGATGTGGTTGCTCCCGCCCTGGGCGTCAATCTGTTTGTGGAGGCTTGGCGCGATGGTGCCGGCAGTTTGCCCGACAGCTGCGACAAAGCCAACAAGGTCTACAACGTTCAGGATATTGCCAATGAGGATTTCAGGATCGAGTTCAAGACCACGGGAGACCATTCCAAGTGGGCCGTCTCCGAGGAATCGGGTATTAAACTGCATCGCTGGCGCATTGGTGGCGGCGATTGGATCTGCATCGGCGACATTAATCGCCAGCGAAGTCAGCAGAATCGCGGAGGCGGCACCGCCTGCCACAAGAGCTCGCGTGTCTCAGATCTCTATCGCAAACTGGTCGCCAACTATGAAAAGTGCAACTAAAGAACTAAATAAGAGATTCAATCAGAATAAAAATTATTTTCTCCAAGCAAATCAAGACGACCAATTTCTCAAATACTACATACGAATAGAAAAACAAGTAAAAATATTATCTTTCTCTATTCTCATATATTTAGGACAGTGACTCGCTTAATAAAATCCTTTTCCTTTAAAACAATTTTCGATTTATGTATTTTAATGACACCACTTTAAGACCCTCAACTGTAGATGTCGCTCTAATAAATTTGGCATATGATGGCTCTGTGGCGCCATCTGTGAACTTTAGCAAACATTAATAAAATACAGCGATGTCACGGTTTTGTTAGTCTAATATATCTAACCATGGAAGTCATTTTAGATATTCAACTAAAGATGATGTTTTTAGGGATTGAACTATAGATGGCGAGTATCGAACTTCAAGTGTAGAAGGCTTTGCAGCGCCCTCTATTGTTAATGAACTCATTGTTTCACAACGCTAACGTCGCAGTATGAACGCGGCGCGCAATGCGCCAACCAGGGCTACACAACAGCACACAAACAGCTGTTGATAAACCAAGCAAATTAAAACACAAGCAGAAAAATACAAACGGCTGCTGTGAAAAAAAGAAAAACCAAACTGACTGAAAAACGCATTAGTCCAAAGCTAATTTAATTTGACCGTGTGTAATGTTCTGCTGCCTGCGCACGTGCCTCAACGGAGGCCAGCTGCGAAAGCCAACAGCAGCTGCCCATCGCCTCAGAGAGCCCGACGTTCATCTGGATGCGGCGCATATGGGTGAATATTTGTCAAGATACCCTCTGGCGATGGTTGGGTGTTTTAATATTGTAAGAAGGGATATAACTCATTGCTCTGTATTGTTGTATGTTGGCAGGAGCTGATGTAATCCTACTGTCGCATCAGCTACGTGTAACGGGCACCGGCGGAGTTCTGGCCACAGCACCACTGGTCCAATCAAAATCGTACTTCGAGGTAAAGATCCAACAAAGCGGCAGCTGGTCAATTGGCCTGGCCACACGTCAGGCGGATCTGTCGCGCAAATGGGGCGGCGGGGATCGTGAATCGTGGTGCCTGTGCTCCGACAATGCGACGCGCCACAACGACGAAGAGTTCCGTCCCGTCGTCGCCAATTGCACACAGCCAACGGCGTCGAAATCACCGGCTGCAGTCACAACCACTGCCAATGGTATATTGAATAATAGCGCCGCTGCTGCAGCTGGCCTGATTGCCATCGAGGATCTGCTGCAGGAGGATCTGCTGATGACAACGGGATGTGCAACGGCAAACCCAACAGAGCTGAGCTCTGTGGATGCTTTAATCAGTGCACCGCAACGAGACTTTCCCGACGAAGGCGACATATTGGGCGTCGCCTTCGATCATATCGAGCTGAATTTCTATTTCAATGGCAAGAATCTGGAGGTGCCTTTCCGTAATGTCCGAGGCTCGGCTCTGTTTCCAGTCATCTATGGTGAGTTTCTGGATTATATTATCTATAATTCCAATTAAATGTTTTATTCGGTTCACAGTGGGCAATGGGGCAATATTGGACATTATTCTGGACAACTTTAAGCACGGTCCGCCCTCGGGTTTTGAGCGCATTTTACTGGAGCAGTCACTACTTTAGGGATTAATAACTCGATCTCACATGCCATGAACAAAATTTCTTAGAGCTGAGGATGGAGTGTTTTTTTTTTATAGGCTGCCTCTATCCCAGCTTCAAGTGTATAATCAACAAATTTGCTAGTCTCTCAGACGCAATTGTAGAAATAACTTCCGAATGATATAACTCGTCGTCGAATTAATGTTCGCAACAAATCTAGAGATATATAGAGATTTAATAGTTTTCTGCAGTTTTCCAGTACTGTTTCATTACAATTATTCAAATAATGGTAGAAAAATCTTAAAACATTGCCAAAGCATTTTCCAAATTTCAAAAAAAAATTATGTTCGGAAGTTAGTTCATATTACATTTGTTGTCTATTTTGGGTATTATTTCATTTTATTGTATTTTTTGTAAATTATTCAAACGTAGCTAGAAATCGCGATAGCTTTGTATAATACACACACAAATTCCACACATATACATATATATTTATATATCTTATCAAATAATTTCGTACATTCCGATTTAAATAAAGAGTCTAGAAAAGTTATTGGACCACATCCTGACTAAATGCACTCGAGCACGGAAATTACCAAACTACTTATGTACTACACTATATTTAAGGACATGTACTTAACGCTTTGACAACTGACTAATCCGCGCGCGGACAATAATGAATGTTATGTATACCTATGTATTGTGCGTACTTAACTAAAATATATAATTATATAGAGACCATTTACCACAAATATATAAATATATATATATACATATAAAGCAGAGCTTGAACAAATTAATGTTTAGCTTGTCACTAAAATCAATGTAAATTAAATTATTTGAAAAGTCGAAAGTAAAAAAAATAAATTGTATAAATTGAATATATGTTAATTTCTTGTCGCATGTCGAGAGCTTACAGAGCACCAATCGCTGAGTCGAAAATCGCCACTAATGGGCGGCAAGGGCGAGATTATTCAGATACACATCGGCCAGGCGGGCGTCCAGATTGCGAATGCCTGCTGGGAGCTCTATTGCCATGAGCATGGCATCATGTACAACGGACGCCTGATGAAACCCTGCGACGATTCCTTCCTAACGTTCTTCGAGATCAGCGGAATGCAGCCAACAGTGCAGCCTCGTCTGGTCATGATTGATACGGAACCAACTGTTATCGGTGGGTTGAACAATTATGAAAAGTATCCAACTCAACACATTTGCTTTTCTGAGCCGGCTACAGGGTATCTCAACGTCCGACACTTGTTCTTGTTTCTCTTTCAGATGAGATACGCACTGGAGCTTATCGGAATCTCTTTCATCCGGACACGCTGATTACGGGCAAGGATGACAGTGGCAGCAATTTTGCTCGTGGCTATAATCTGATGGCCAGCGAGCTCCTAAATCGCGCCATGAATGCCATACGCCGTGTTGCGGATCACTGTCACAATCTGCGCGGCTTCCTCATCTTTCGTTCCATTGGCGGCGGCACTGGCTCCGGTCTGGGCACGCGCATAATGGAAAAGCTAGTCGAAGACTTTGGCAAGAAAATGACTGTTGTGGAGTTTTTAGTGTATCCATCGCCATCGTAAGTACGCTGAGCAAATGCACACAATGCAGATAGAGACATATTAAATGCTTGTTCTTATCACTTTGTGTTTGGTTGATGCATCCTGCATTTATAGCTCTAATTCAATTATTCGATTTTCAAGTGAAAATATTCTTAAATATGTAAATGTGATTAATATATTACAGAATTTCACCTGTGATTGTGGAACCGTATAATGCACTTCTTTCCACCCACTTCTCGATGGACTATGCGGATGTCTCCTTCATTGTGGACAATGAAGCACTGTACGATATCTGTGCTCAAACCTTAAATGTGCCGGCGCCCACATACACGAATCTGAATCGCATAATTGGCCAAGTAGTTGCGGCTTTTACGGCCACACAGCGTTTCTCGGGGCAATCGGTGAGCTTTCAGGAGCTGCAGACGAATTTGGTGCCATATCCGCGCATACACTATCCTCTATTGAATTATGCACCACTGGTACCCGTCTCCCACTCAGAGTTCGTAGACCTGAGCACCGCCCAGCTGACGAGCCAGTGTTTCTCGATGAGCAACCAAATGGTCCGTTGCAATCCCGAGCATGGCAAATACATGGCCTGTGTGCTGTTCTATCGGGGCGAGGTCGCGCCCAATGAGATCAACTTGGCGCTGGAGAACATCAAGCGGTCCAAGTCCTTTAGGTTTGTCGACTGGTCACCCACAGGCTTCAAGATCGGGGTGAGCCCCGTGCCGCCAGTTTTTGTACCCCATGGCGACCTGGCGCCCACAAAAAGCGCCTGTGTTGCCATCTCAAACAATACAAATATACGGATGGCCTGGTGCCGATTAGTCAATAAGTTCGATAAGCTCTATCAACGGCGCGCCTTCGTCTATCACTATGTGGGCGAGGGTCTCGAGGAGGGCAACTTCAATGAGGCATCCGAGAATATATGTCAGCTGGTCCACGATTATATTGAGGTGGATGCCTCGGCGCCAACCTCTCGCCGCGAGTCCAATGACGGCGAATAACCCCGAAACACTTTTCCTGTCCATCCAAGCCTTTGAATAAAACCAAAATTTCATGTTTATACACTCGGAAAAAATGTCTTAAGTTTTATAAATTAACATATTTAAATTCGATTCCAAATTTCAATTAATTACAAATAATATTATCAGTGCTCTTAAAATATTCTTAATAATTGAAATTTAGTTGAGCAGCAATTTATTTGCAGTGTACGTAAATGTTGATCAAGTGCTTTAGGTAATTGCGAGCCAATTGATGCCTCGCGATGACTTTATAAAATGTTGGGGCTTTCGTCAGTATTTTTGGAATCACGCAAAACCGTTGCACAAATTAAGTATTTATTGCCGGCTAAAACAAACATTGACCCAGCCCATAATTTGCGTTACTTGACCCCGCCAAACAGAGGAGGATGAAGGGGGGAGGGAAGAAGGAACGCCAGGGGGCGTTGCCTGTGGTTCAGTTGGCCAGGGGTCTATAATTAAAATGATCGCAGGCAAGGGTTTAGCACGTACCGAGGCAAAAGTCGCGCTTATCGCGATCGCACCCAGGGCAAGGTCTCAGGGCCGATCGCTCTCTGGCTACAGTGAAGGCTGGCAAAATAAGCTCGTAGTTTCTGGACTTCACTTCCATACAATTTATGAGTTATTTATAATGTTTCTTTAGACTCTAAATTTATGTTACAAAAAAATGAAATTTCAAAGCCAGACCACCTACGCAGAATGTCCAAAAGTATCAGAATTGAATTCAAACTATCTATTTTCTTAATCGTCGTTCCATTGTGCGATCGACTACTGTATGCCCCTTTGAGTATTTGCCTTGCGGTGTCTTCTTCTTCCTTGGGGCAGTGACGTGACTTACGCACGCTTAATGCGCGATTATCGATGGAGCCACCTGGAGATACCTCCTGCCCTCCTGCCTACTATCTATTGGTGGAGATCTTTGCGCACGCAGTTCTCGGACTGGGGCCGGCATCTTATCAGTGCCGTCTGGTGGTCCTTGCTGACCGAGCGTTGTTATTATAAGAAGCATTATCATTATGATCGACGGATGGGGCCTTTCCTGGGCCATTCCTTTGTCTGTGTTAACTGTTGCTAATCTTAAATTGCGCACAATGCTTTTGTTTTGCAGCGTGAGAACCACTGCGTGTGGGTTCCATCATCGCCAGTTTCCCTTCGAGAAGGAGAACCCAGGTCCGCCACGTGTTAATGAGCCAAAGGAAATGCGGCGTCAGGACCACCTTAGGCGACCGAACTGCAGACCAAATGAAGTTGTTATGTGTGATAGGATACTCGGCTAATAAAGCAATTTGGCATATGCCCCGAAAAGAAAGTAAAGCAAAGCAATACCGTGGTACAGTTGAACGGGGCCTGCAGCATCGGAAGTGGGATTTGACAGAGAGCGAAGGGGGGCGACCCCTGCCACAGACATAATTTGAAATATCTAGTTAGCTCACAATGACAGAGCAGCCCAAAAACACAGCTCTGACCTTCTTTATTTATGCACTAATCCGTGGGAAATGCGCGTCCAAACACCTGGGGCCAATTGATGCTCCTGCCTGCCTACCTCTCTGTCTGCCTGTCTGCCTGTGATGACGACGCACCCGCACAGGCTTAAAAGCCCCAATACTATCTTTAGTCTCAACCTAGCCAATAGCTAAGCCTTCACTTAACGGAGACACATCGAATTCTCGATACACTCAAAACGGCTTGGAGAAACTTCAACCAAAAGATTCAGTTCTTAAGTCCAGTTACTAGTAACACTAGATTGCAGTTTAAAGCTTGACAATCATATTTTTTTGATGATAAGTGTACAAGTTGGGAAAATATATCTACAATATATTTTATATATGGCTTAGAATTGAAAAACCATCAATATAATATTATTCCCAACACATTCAGGCATTGAAAAATTCATAAATAAAACTATCAATATAAATAAAGTTAATCTATTTAATAGAAGAGTTGGTTATTCCATGTCATTCAAAACAAAAATACGAAAAAGCCTTTACTAACGCGAAAAAGTTTACGGGGAAATCTGAGGAAGTATTTTAGGATCATCATTTTCGATTACAGTCAATATTAATATTATGTTTGCATTATTAATGTTCAAATATTTGCAAAATGTTGTAAAAGTTCACATACTCTTGGTTAGAGTACGCATATGTGCAAAAGATGCAAAAACATTAAACAACCGTCGAGTGAATTAATAAAGCGCCTTAACATTGCGAGGCGGCCACGCATTAAACGACACACAACAACTGCAACATATGCAACACAACTGCAGCAACGCCAACAATGTAACTACAGGCTGGCTGGCTAGCTAGCTAGCTGGCAGATCGGAATAAACCATGCCACATGTGGTTGGTTGGCTTTTGGGGCCGAGGCTGGTGCCTGGGCCAATAGATGCCATAACATGACTGACCAAGTCGGAGTGGAGTCGACTGGTGGCATCTGCACTCCACTCCACTTTAGCCGAGGGCAAACATTTTGGAATTGCAATTTTCGACTTGATTTCAAAGTGGACTCAGAGCCTCAGAGCGTGCACAGTAAAAAATACTTTCTGCAAAACTGAACTAATACTTTTCTTGATGAACTTCAAATGGGAGAGGAACCAAGACCAATATTGAGAATCTTTCCGCTTTAAATACATGAAACGAACTTAGAATTATGAGATGATGATTATGATTTGTATCAAAATAACAATTGGTAGACCTAATTTTGAAAATATATTGTGGTATTGTATCGAAGCTTTGATTAACTTACTTTGAAGAATGTTATCAACTAAATATCACAAGAAATTGAGTTGAATCCCACTTTTTTTTTCAGTGTAGGGAACTGCGCATTGTGCGCCTTTTTTTTTGCTGTGGTAACACCTACTGAGTGCAAAATGGAACCTGCTGCGGTGGGCGGAGAGGGATAGGATTGGGGGAGACGTGGGGCTTTTGGGGTTAGAGCAACTGTTGGCTTTGGCACACGCAGCAAGTGTTTCGATTTATGTTTTTGCGCCTCAAACGCAGTCAAAACACAGCGTCGCAGTTGCAGTCTCAGTCTCAGTCGCAGTCGCAGTCGCCATTTCACTCGTGGCGTTTTCATTCAAAATATTTAACCATGCGGCTGTCCCGAGTGTCCAGCGGAGCGACCACTTGTTGCTCTTTTATTCATTCAATTTGTCAGTTTTTCACTAGGCGCGTTGTGCACAAAAAGCGAATCCCGTCCGTTTCCCGGCCAGAGAGTCAAAAGGTTATCGCCACACTTGCAGCATTTTTACTGCCATCATTATCATCATCATGATGTTGATAATGATCGTGCGCTTGCAACATAACGCCGCTGCCATAGCCATAGCAACAACAAATTATTAGTGGTAATATTTGTGAAATATTTGTTTTCTAATCTGTAAACACCAATCATATTAGCAATTTGAATATGACAGCAGCAGCAAACAGTAACAGGCCGTTGTTGTTGTTGTTGCAGTTGTTGTTGCAGTTGTTGTTGCAATTGCAGCTGTTGCATTTGTTTGTGTTGCATTTTTCTGGGCTGGTCAAATGGTCAGCGCTTGTGGCAACAGCTAGTTGCTCGTTGCAATAGATGTAGTGGGTGGCTGGGTAGGTGGGGCTAGTGAGTTATTATCTATTCAATTGTTGCACTTGGCTGCTCGGCTGCTTCCTTTGGGGCTGGCCAATTAAATTGAACGTGCGCTGCCTTTGATACCGCAGGCTTAGCAGTTAAGTTGGGATGAATTCTCTGATTAGCAAGTGTTTTTATATTATTTGTTTATTTTCTTTTATAAAACAAGTAATTGTGCTCTAGTCGGAATTGTGCCAAGCAAAGGAGATGCCCTGTAACAAGCTTTGAATTAGGGCCAACATACATTTGTAGTTATTTACGTATATAAATGTGGGTTGAATTGACAACAGAAGTTTGTCATTTTCTGCCCTTGATTAACTTCACAATACATGTTATATAAATAAAATTTTGGCATCAGCAAAAGCATAAGCAATATTTTGAGCAAAACAACATTTATGGTGCGCCACAAATAATAACAAATTCAAAACTCTTACTTCAAATTACAAGGTCTAATAATATTCGCATCTAATAACCGATTAAATAGTATATTAGCTAAATATCAACGACATATACGTGGGAATAATTAAATGCCTCAAAAATAACTTAAATAAATTGAGTAAAATGTTTTTGATTGAAGTGAAATAAAAAGACAAAATGGATTTTAAATGAAAAACCATGTTACATATTTAACAAATTTGGAACCGAATCGCTTTTCGCTTTGCGGCCAAGTTTTGTGGAACGTATCTAGGCCGTAAAGCGAGGTATAAGTCTATACATAAAACAAGTTAAAATTATTTTTTTTTAAATAATTTAATAATAAATAAAATTTAAATAATTTAAATAATAATTTTATTTGCTTGTAGAAAACATGTACTTCAAATTGGTGTCTGACTCTTAAAGTGTTGAGCGGAATAATATATTAATTTTGAGTTATTAATTTTCAGTTATTTCATGTCGTCGGAGATGCTTTCTGACATCTAATCATAAAGATACACTCTTAAAAAATTTAAAATAATTTTAAACGATTATTGCCTTTTCAGCTAAAAGTTTTTGAGTGCCATATTTATTTTTTTTAATATGTTGATCAACAATATACAATATAACAGCATACACTTGCGCAGCTTAATGTTATCTTCTTAAACGTTTTTATTGTGTATAGGGTATCAGAAGAAACTCTTGTGCATTTATTAACCGTCGCTTATGAAAAATTCCGTGTTTATTTGTGCTGCTCGTTAAGCCCGTCGCCTTACCACATCTTTACAACACCTTAAGAGCATCGTTGCCCAGCTAACCGACTGGATGGCTGGTTGGCCATCATGAGCAGATGCATTGGCTGCCATTAGCAAACCAATTGACATACTCCTGACTGACAACTCGACAGACTATAACAGGCAATGTGCAACAGGCGACGTGCTACAGGCAAACATGCAGTTGGCAACTTGCAACTTGTAACTGGCAACTGGCAAAGTCTGCAGCTAAGTGCTGCAAATTTATCATTGGGCTGATCGTTGTTGCAGCT